CAATCAGAGAATCTGTGACAAATATAGACACTGTCAACCTAGATAATGCGTCTAGTGAAATCTCAAAACTAGTAGACTTACTTCATAGTGCTGGTAGAAAATCTATACCTAACTACAGGGAAACAATCACAGTAAAGACAGTTGGAAGGGGGATCTGGAATAAAGAAATAAGCAATGCATCAAAACTGTCAAAGTTGGCTTTTTTTGAATGGAAAAATGATAAGTTGGATGATTGCAAGTATAAAGGAATGAATAAGGCATGTAAAGTACTGAGAAGTGCACAAAGACGTGCACATGCTTCGAAAAGAAATACGCTAACTGAGAAAATTATGCAGGCATCTCAAAATGACTCTAAGCTGTTCCACAAACTTGTGAAGGGCCAAAGAAAATGTAACAACATTTTAACTGATACTATGGTATTTAATGGTATTGAGGAATCAGATCCAGAGCTAATGATGAGTGGATGGAAAGACTATTTCGAAAATCTATACAAACTTGACAATTCCAACAGTCATCAAAACTTTAGTACAAAAAAACTTAAGAGTGATAGAGGTACAAAACAAAATAATAGAAGAACTGGAAACAGAAAGAAATATAGAAATTGACAATACTAATGTCTTAGAAGTGCAGGAAGTAGTTAAGGCACTTAAAACTGGAAAAAGTCCTGGTCCTGATGGACTTTCAGCAGCGCATTTCAAACTAATGCCGGAAGAACTTTTAACGTACATAGTGCATATAGTGAACCTTATATTTAAGGATAAAGATCTGCCACAAGAAACAAAAGAAGGAGTAGTTTCTCCGGTACACAAGAGTGGGAAAGATAAATTACATCCAGAGAATTATAGAGGTATTACAGTAACCAATACCTTTTCTACCCTAATAGAAGGTATTTTAAAAAACAGGTTAGAATCCGAACTACTGAAAATTCAAAGTAAGCTACAAAGAGGCTTCACTGAAAAAACATCGTCATTAAAAACTGCCTTTATCGTATCTGCTGCTGCAGATTTTTACAAAGAGATTCTAGAAGAACTCATATTACTTACATTAGATGCTCAAAAGGCTTTCGATAAACTACATCACGAAATCCTCTTTAACAAAATGTACATTGTGGGAAATATGTGGTTATTGCTAAGAAATATGTACAGGAATGTAACAATTAAAGTTAAGTGGAACAATAGCATTTCAGATAAATTTACACATGAAATAGGTGTTAGACAAGGTGCAAAGTTATCGACTGTTCTATATAAACGCTATAACAACAACATCTTAGAGGCATTAGAAAGGTCAAACATAGGTGCACGAATAGGCAACATTAATGTTGTCGCTCCAACTTGTGCGGATGACATTGCCATACTGGCCAGCAAGGAGCATGAGGTTCAGGCTCTACTAAAATCTACAAAATCTGAAATTGTGCCGTTAACAAAAGTTCAACAAGAACTAAATGTTTATCTAGGAACCAATAAAATTGACGAAAAGAAAGAGGTTAAACATCTTGGTCTTATAAGAACTATAAAGAATAAAGTAAATATAGAAGACCGGTTAAAAGTTGCCCGACGTACTATATATGCTATGCTTGGTCCTGGACTGAGTGCCAGAAAGGGAATGTCGCCAATGGTTACAGCAAAACTCTGGCAAACTTACGCCTTGCCAAGGAGTCTGTATGGCATTGAGGTCCTAAACTACACAAAATCTGACATCACAAAATTGGAGAGACTCCAACTCCAAATATGCAGACAGATACAGGGACTACCAAAAAGAGTTGCTAGTGCTGCCAACTACAGTTTACTAGGTATAGAACCAATACAGTCAACTGTGGACCGACTGCTACTCACATTTTTTGGAGGCATAATTCAAGACAACACCAGCATAGAATACAGAATTATAGAAAGGCAACTTATAATGTGAAAACAAAATGCTAATACATTCATTAGTAGATTAGAAACTGCTTTATCAAAATACAAACTACCAAAAGCTCATGAACTGTTATTAGTTAAACCAACTAGGGAAAAATGGAAAACAACTGTCAAGTGTGCCATTCAGCAATATTGGGCAGAGAAATGGGAGATAGAAAAATCTGAAAAATCTACAATGAAATACATTAATATTAAAACAAGGCCAATTGGAAATCCTCATCAAATATGGAAGTTCACCTCAAATAATACTTTAGAAGTAAAAAAAGCAGAAATAAAAGCAAAGCTCATAACTAGGACTTATACACTTCAAATAGACCGTGCCAAGTTTAGCAGAAATGTGGAGCAGGATATGTGCCTATTGTGCAATTCAGCTACGGAAGATACAGAACACTTTATGCTAGAATGCAATGCACTGAAAACCGAAAGAGATAAACATTTAACAACACTAAAATCATACGTGATCAACAACATAGGCAACGAGATATTTGATAAAATTGTGGATGAAGGACTCATGGTGCAGTTTATTATGGACTCATCATCTGAAAGGATCAAGCAAATAGTTAACAGCAAACATCAAAATATCAGAGACATTGAGAATATCACACGAACATTATGCTATGGTCTACATACAAAACGGACAACCCTGATGAATAAGAGTTAAACTATTCTTTATGAACTATATCAGTCTATCAAGTGAAAGTAGGAGTTTCTTGGTTTATGGTGTTACTGTACAGGTATTGATATTTTAAAAAGTTTAAATGTACAACTGTAAATAATGTACATATTTAATACTAACCTAAATAAATCCCATTGGGAGTGACCCTTAGAAAGGGTGAACCTACCAGACAGGTAACAGGTAACAGGTATAGACATGAATAATACAGAATTATCAAGAAAAGGGTGTCACGATTGACACCAAACATCGCATCAAATATTAACCATGCATTTGTACAGTACTGCAGACATTGTTTTTGAACTATTACCGGTTAACATTGTTGTATATTACCCTCTCTTTTCCCTCCAGCTCAATTTCTAGATACTAGTGAGTTTAGGATGGAACTTCAAATATATCAACTATACATCTAGGGTGAGCTTCGGTACATTCGACAATAAAGCTAGCTTCTGTTATGAAATCATGTATGAACGAGTCATAACTAGTCCTTGAGGCTACATATATATACAATTTTTAAAGTAAGGTGACAGGTACCTGCCCATAAATATGCCTATAGATGTAACCTTCAATACAAATTCCTAGCCACTCACAACTCTGTTTCGGTTCCTTATCTGCAAACCCTATTAGATTTTATTCTGTTTTTATGAACACATTGGACTCTAAATTGAACTCCTTGCTATCAGCAAGTATGATTAGTGTCAGATTTTGTGAAGTGACATGCCAGTTCCTCTGCAAATGTTCAATCATCTTTCTTTTAATTAGCACGAAGGACTGTGTTTTTTATATGACCTTTGTATGTAATGTTTAGTATGATATACTAGTAATTAGCACGAATGACTGTGTTGTTTATAGGACCTTTGTAATATTTAGTATGATATATTAGTAATTAGCACGAAGGACTGTTGTTTATATGACCTTTGTATGTAATGTTTAGTATGATATACTAGTAATTAGCACGAAGGACTGTGTTGTTTATAGGACCTTTGTATGTAATATTTAGTATGATATACTAGTAATCAGTTTTGAATATTCAGTCCTGAAGTACAAAAGTAAGTTCTTAGAGTTAGGACTTTAGATTCTCCTGAAGTGCAAACGTGTGTTCTTAAGAGTTATGACATTAGATTTGCATAGTAAATTGTACACCATATAACACGAACCTTCACCATCACCAACAGTGCAGCCTATCATCCTTATGCAAACAATCATGTGTAGATGTGCCTGGAAACAAACTGTTACATAACTGTTAGTTGGCCATTGTGGAGGAAAATCAATATTTTAAATTTCAAGGCATTTAAATAATGAGATTTAGGATATTCCAATCAAATTACAATCCTTTTCGATATTAAAGCAAATAAAACTATATTTTGACTATATCTTGAAAAAACTAAAGAATATGAAAGCAATGAAAAAACCCAAAATTGTTCACTATGATTTCAACTAGCCAATCCGTCATGCAGTAAGTTAAACTAATCTGGTCTCACTCTGTGACAATAAAGGCATCTGCCTTTAAAACAGCACAATTTTTCATACTACTTTTGCAAATGGAAACATTGCACATTGTGGATGTAATTTAGTAGTTGTATTTCAGTATCAAGCCATTCAATAGAAATGCTTCTTCAGGAACAAAATCAGTCTTAACTGAAAGTTTAGGCAAGGTATCATTTTAAGGAGAAAATTCAAATTTCAGAAATCTGAAATTTCAAGGAAGGGATGCCAATTGGAACATAAACTTCATAAACCTTTTTGAAGAATTAAGATTAGTTGTCAATAATTAGGTAAAAAAAAGTTTTTCAGTGCCCCTCCACAGTCAATGGCTGCTAAAAAAAAAGGTGGAATTTACCAAATGGACATTCTAAACTTATAAGTGGAGATAAACTGAAAATGTCATAGAAAAAAACAACCAAGTTCACAAAACACTACATAGAAAACTACAGACTGAGCAACCCCATCAAAAACATTATAGATTTCAGACAGAAACTTTTAATAATATAGTAATAGAAATTATTAAATGATGATCTTTTACTTTTTGGTTGAGTACATTTTAAAATTTACCGAAAATATCAACTCTTAACCAAAGACTCTCTTGCATAAAAAAAAGGTGATAACAACTTCAATTTTGTTGAACTATGTTGTCATTTATATTAGGGTTGTGATTGTAAAATAAAATTTGTTGCATCATAGAATATTTGTTGCAAAAAACAAAATAAAACATGGGTGGAGACACAAACAGGAGAAAACAAAATATTAATTGTTTATATTATTTGTAAAATCTTTGTATAATTGCAGGCAGAGTATACAAAATAATGGAACCATTTTTGGCATACACAATTCTATATAAAAGTTTGAAATTTGAAACTAGGAGAGAAAAGGTAATAGCATGTATGGTCTGTATGATATCTAACTGACAAAATATATCAAATAGAATGATTTTATTTAAAAATATCTTCATTATAAAAGCATAAAACACAAGATATGTTTTTTTTTCATTGAAAAGAGATTCATAATATAAAAAAATAATAATCAAACAATTCTAAAAGGAATGTTAAAACAATCACAGTCAGTAACATTTTCTCAGTAAAGTATATCTACATGTACCCTATGTGTACAGAGCAAAATATTCCTAAAAAGATACACAACAATTACAATTACATGGTAAAATAAATCAACAGCTGTGTAAACTACAAAGCTTTGTGGATTGATCAATGGTCTTTGAATTCTAATATCCATTAGTGGAAGCAAACCACAAAATTATCCAATTACCCGAATAAATATTGACCTTCTGCGCTGAAATGATCAATTATGTTAAATCACAAAACAATGACATATAGAAATGTCTGCCCTGTACTATATCACTGAATAATATACTAGTTATCAGTCAAAATACACAATTCAAACATAAACATGCACATAAAAAAATTGGGACATTGAATCAAAAAGTCACATGGAAACTTCAGTCATGAAGTATCAATTCATAAAATGCTTTTCTTACTTGTAATATACTGGTATATATTATGCACTAGTTTAGAAGTCATTACTATGTGACAAGGAGACCTACAATCAGATTTACCTGTGATATATATATAATGCACTAGTTTACATTGAAGTCATTACTATGTGACAAGCAGACCTACAATCAGACTGTGGTAGACAAAATCTGATAACCTTTAAACTCAAATCATATACAAAAATAAATATAAAAATATTGCATAAATTAAAAAATAATAAATCGTGTAAGCTTACTACTCTAAAGCACAAAACCATATTTTATCAGCACTTTGTACATTTTACCTTTGATCCTACTGTCATATTTTTCTTTAAATGACAGAAAGGACTTAAACATAGAAGGCAATAATATTTCACTGTAAAAATGCAGCCATTTGTCAAGTCTACCCACATCAGTTTATCAATAAATGTGACATCATACTACCAAACAACTGTGGCAACATTTGTATGTGCAAACAGAATTTCTGACAACTTGATTTTATATTTTACTCAAAGAAACAATATGACAAATTAGGGATCAAAAATAATGGAGTCTTATGTGTTGATAATGAAAGACTTGCTTGTTTTTCTTGCTGATGAAGTCAGTATCAAAAACAAAAATGTAATTATTCCATATATCTTAACAAGTCTGAAATATTATTGGTACTTATAGTACAATCAATTTTTGCACCTAAGTTTTGAAGTAACAATACATATATTGGGCAAGTACAGCAAAGCTATGATCCTCATGAAAATACAACTTAATGTGTTTACTGATGCAACATAATTTCTTTTTCCTGAATATCTTAGTATATATACATGACAATTAGAAGTGTATATGTCATAATTATTCTAATGTATAAAATTATAATGTATGTCATAACATGGAAGTATTATATTGACAGGAACTCCAACGAAAAATGAGTACATTCCCATCCCAAACTGAGTCGGAACCTTTTATTTTCTCAAAGAAATCATGTACCTGAAGTAGGGTGTTTGCATAAAATAATGTGATTCGCGTGTAGTGTGGAGGATGGCGAAGGATGACTCAAATTTCAAGTTAAAGGTTGTGAATTTTTTATCGAGTGTTACAAAAATATTTATAGTTTTCTCTATCGTCTCAATTAATGTAGAAGAATGTATTTTAATATAACAAATTTATGGCTTCCATGAATTATTTCTTAAATCAAACTTATTTATCAAATATGTTTTAAAAACTAATAGAGGTTAATAATTACACGCACATGATGAACTCTACATAGCATATATCAGGTTACGAGACAGATAACATATTACACCTTTTGTAATAATTCAAAAGATAAAAACAACGTTCAACCTAGTCCGAGATTGCTCTCACGTCTGACAGTTTTTTTTTAAGAATAGCTCAACTTCAAATATGTCTTTATGCATTTCAAGAACGATCATTATGATGGGTCCTAAGCAGTATAATATTTATTTGTTCTTTAAAAGATTTTATCATGGGAACCAAATTAGATTTATTTGTGTGTAAAAATGCTTAAAAGTTCTAAAACATCTTACAACGTATGTTAAACAATTCATGTTTTTGTTTCTTGTTGAAATGCATGAAATATTTGCCATTGGACTTTCAGTAAACAATTAATCAAACTATTTGTCAAAGTTAGCAGTAAACATCAATTATAGATGCAGATTGCAACTTTTTTACCCTTGCACGAGACATTTATTGTTATTCAAGCCAATATCAAAATAAGGAGATATGGTATGATTGCCCATGCGCTTTTTCATTATGCCAAAATATGATATTTTTTTCGATCAAAGCCCTTAAACACACCCCCAAACCCCGAATCAAATACAGGGAACCAAAATTTTGAATTAAAATTTTTGTTGAAAATTCATGAAATATTTTGGCATTCTACATTCAGTAAACACTTAACTAAATTATCTGTCAAAGTTAGCAGTAATCTTCATGTATATGAGCATGTTCGGTCAGCGGACCTCTCATGAATAAAAATCTTACGATTAAAATTGATTTTAACTAAAACTGAAATGTTCATTCATGACTTGCAAGTAACCCTTCAGATTTTTGTCGAGCCTGCGACTTTAGTCGCAAAAGCGGGACATAGCGATCCTACATTCCGTTGTCGGCAACGTCGTCGTTGGTGGCGGGGGCGTCCACAAATATTCACTCTGTGGTTAAAGTTTTTCAAATTTCAATAACTTTCTTAAACTATCCTGGATTTCTACCAAACTTGGACAGAAGCTTGTTTATGATCATAAGATAGTATCCAGAAGTAAATTTTGTAAAAAAAAAATCCTGTTTATCCGTATTTTACTCATAAATGGACTTAGTTTTTCTGCCAGTTAACATTACATTCACTCTGTGGTTAAAGTTTTTCAAATTTTAATAACTTTCTTAAACTATCCTGGATTTGTACCATACTTGGACAAAAGCTTGTTTATGATCATAAGATAGTATTCAAAAGTAACTTTTGTTAAAAAAAATCCTGTTTATCCGTATTTTACTTATAAATGGACTTAGTTTTTCTACCAGTTAACATTACATTCACTCTGTGGTTAAAGTTTTTCAAATTTTAATAACTTTCTTAAACTATCCTGGATTTGTACCATACTTGGACGGAAGCTTGTTTATGATCATAAGATAGTATTCAAAAGTAAATTTTGTTAAAAAAAAAATCCTGTTTATCCGTATTTTACTTATAAATGGACTTAGTTTTTCTGCCAGTTAACATTACATTCACTCTGTGGTTAAAGTTTAAAAATTTTAATAACTTTCTTAAACTATCCTTGATTTGTACCAAACTTGGACAGAAGCTTGTTTAAGATCAAAAGCTAGTATCTAGAAGGACATTTTGTAAAAAAAAAATTCCTGTTTTTCCGTATATTACTTATTAATGGACTTAGTTTTTCTTCCAGTTAACATTACATACAGCCTGCAGTTAAAGTTTTTAAAACATTTATTAGATTCATAAACCATCCTGGATTCTTACCAAACTTGAACAGAAGCTTCTTACACTCAAAAGATAGTATCTAGAGGAAAATTTTTAATAATTATTTCCCCATTTTTGATGCACCTGCGACTAACAGCAAAAGTAGGCGAGACACTGGGTTCCGCGTAACCCTTACGAATATTTTGTGAAAACAGTCAAGGGGTTTTCTTTTCTTTTTCTTTATTTGTTTTAACGCAGCAAAACCCGTAGAAACTGACATATTTCCTTGACAATTAAGTACACACCCGGTTATTCGGTATATTCCGTAATTACGATCAATGACGAAGTTCCAAAAATTTTATTGAACCCATGCATTGCGATATGACGTCGAGTCAATTAACAGATACTTAACGAATTTGCGGCATCGCACTATAAACATTTGAAGTCGGTTTGTTGGAGTTCCTGTCAATATAATACTTCCATGGTCATAATAAACTGATCTATAGAATGTAATTGTATTTCTCTTAACTTAATACTTTTTGCCTAAGTCTAAACATGTGTTAACAAATATCTGTACAGTTAAAAAAGAAACTAATTCTCTGTGATATATATTTTCATCCTTTTTTCACTATATGTTTAGCATAAATGTTACATATTTTTCATTACAAGGATAAAAGAGTTAAAAAGCATTTTGGTATACATGTACATGTTCACAACAATTTACATTTTTACTAATTTTTTACAACTTTTTGGTATTTCTATAGTACCGGTATGCAACTAATCAATGGTCATATGTAATAAAAATATAAACCATCCCTTTATCAAACAAGTTTTAAACTGATCTGAAAAATCTGAACAAATGTAAATCGCATTTAGTTCATCAAACAGTTACCATACATTTCCATTTGTATCTAATTCAGTACTCTTCAGACAATTTACTTGCAGTTAATTAAGACTGTTTTGTTATTTTTAGAGTGTTCAGTAGCATTTATACACCTGTTCTCAACAATGATTCTCAATTGCTTTAACGGTTTCTAAACAAATCTGGGGGGGGGGGGGGGGGGGGGGGTTAAATGTCAGAACAGTGCTGCATCTACCTCAAATTAAATACTTTTAAAAATTGCTATAATTCTAACAACTCTTAAAAACATTTTACTGTTCAGATGAACTTGGTTTATTTGGGTATTTTTATTTATATATTACAACAATAATTAGAGGAGAAGCAAGTCAACAAAAATAAAACCCAAAATTGAACGGACCCTGCCTACAAATCATAAATTGGTTCATTTACTTTAACACACTTTAAACCTTTATACTAATTTTTGAAATAAACTAACTGTGTATTTACACAATTTCTCTCCAAATAAGAGTAAGATAGCTTTAGTATTCCTAAATAAATATCTGTGTTATAACCATTTTAACATTAATTTAATCATAAGGGTTCACATGTTTTCAATTTCCAATCTCAAAATAACTCATAAGTATAAGTGGTTTTTCTTCATTTGTATGTAAATGTATCTTTTGCTACACCAAAAAAAAAAAAAAAAACTAATTTGAAATGAATTAAAGTGAATTTACAACATGTATAAATAAGGACTTAAGTGTTGTAATTTGTTACAGAGAGATGAAAATGTCCATAATAATACAAATTTAATCAGAATTAACCATGTTTACACATAAATGTAAATAACAATTTATCTCATTGCATGTGTCTGAAACACTTTTCTGTATATACATGTATTATATCAAGTACTGTTTCCACCTATTTCAGGTTACTGTAAAGTTGATAATTTCACAAGGTATAAATTTGGCGATTTCAAGGCCCAAACCTGTTCAAAAGATTTATTTTTGGGCTATTCTTGTCTTTGGTTCTGATCTTTCAAAAAAATATTGCACTTTATAGTGTAGATATGATAGAAGTATCTGTGGGTTATCTAACATTGCACTGTATCATATATGTACTGTTTCCTCTCTGGAATCAAAGGAGGCTCTTCTTTCTTCTTTAGGATTTTTAAATGTTCTATAACTTAGAGGAATATGTCGTAGCAGTCCTTTTCTGTATGACCATATCATTGAACCCGCCATAAGAACAACCCCTAAGATGGCCAATGAAAACACAATCCCTAAAACTATAGATGTAGTTCTTGAACTTTCTGATTCTATAGTTGTTTTCTCTGAAATTCAAAAGATAACATAATGCAATCTAAATATGTAAACAATGTTCTCAGGCACAGAAATATATATATATTCACGAAAAAATAATTGGAACAAGAAATTCTTTTCTAGTAGAGCTTTCCTCTTTCTGCAGGGACTCTGAACTGCGATGGTACTCCGAACCACGCTGGTCATACTAATGTGCGATGGTTTGACGCTGAAGTGTGATGGTGGCATTATGACTGTATCTTGTTGATAGCTACGCAGAAGTGCTATGGTGGTAAATTTTTAATATTTCGTACTAAATTCTAAAGCATAAAAATATTAATAGATCAGCTGTAGCAACATGTCATGTAGTTCACCACTTTACATAGGATAGAACAAAGATTTGTTAATAATTTTTCCAAATTTACAGAAGAAACAACTACTTTTAGTGACATAACAGCCAAAGGGAGGATATCAACGAATTTTGTTTCCTGAAAGTAAGAGATTAGACATGCCTAAAAGAAGACTATTGTACAGAGGGCTTTCATCTGATATCTAGAGAGTTGATGAACAAGGGGCTCCTCTAAGTCTGTACTGTTACCTTGTTTGTAAGCTTACACTTCATATAGATAATCTTTAAATAAATAAAAAACAGGCTAAAGACAAACAACAGATGCAAAGTGAAGGCAAATGATAATGTGTTTTCGAGTCACATGACTTCAAATTACAGAAGATATGTTTACTCTTTATAAACTACCCACCTGTATTACTCATGAACTTGAACAGTGAAAAAGGTTTTTCTGTTGGTATGGTAACATTTGCTGTATACATCCAGTATTTATGACTAGGTACCCACTGTAAATGACCAGCAAGCTGGAATGATCCTGAAAATCTCTCACTTGATTGGTAAGTTGTTGTCTTGTTAAATATCACTTTACCAAAAACTGAGTAACCTAAACAAACAATTATATTATTATCATACTATGACATTTACTAAATATTAATTATTTATTATCATCTTTTTTTAAACTTTTTTCCTGACGCAAATTATCTATTCTAAATAAAAAGATTTCCCAGTGTGCTAATTGATATCTAGGACAGTACATTTTTTTGTACTATATTCACATTATTTATTTATGTAAATATAAGGATAACATTCTATTGACAAAGCCTGCCACTTCCTTCCCACTTCCCACATCACATTGCCCTCTATTGAGCAGTGATCTCGATATCATAGACCAATCAAACTATCTCTTCTAAGTAGTAATCTCAATATCATAGACCAATCAAACTATCTCTTCTAAGTAGTAATCTCAATATCAAAACCAATCAAATTGTCTTTTGTAGATCTCAAATTGCTTATTTTTTATATACATATATTTCACTGTTCACAGATTCTCTCTACACAATATTGTATTCAAGATTATTTGTATTTAAAAACACTAAAAGTTCATGAAAATCATTATTGTAGGGTGATAACTATGATAATGAATTTGTTCTTTTTATTGTTGTTATTTTCTAATTTTTTGTCAATTTTACCTCAAAGAAATTTATAAAGACTCACAATTGAAGATACAGTGCAATAGTACTCCAAATTGAAGACTACACATGCTCTGCTAATATTCACTTTCAATTCAAATTGCATATACTATATCTACGACTGCAGATGTTGAACCCTGAACAGTTGGGGCAAGTATGGACACAACATTCAAGCTTGACACAGCTCTGAATTTGGATTGTGATTAAATATTGGACACAGCATATATAGGTTTCTGACACAGAATAAATGTGGTCTAAGAACTTCAAAATTTGAAATTGGACATTTACCTATCATGCTCCAATATCCAAAATCTAAATACACGGTATGATTCAGCATAACAAAGAACACCATATATTTAAATTTTGGACCCTGATGTGGACCAACTTGAAAACTGGGCCCAAAAAAATCTAAAAACTTGTTTAGATTCAGCATATCAAAGAACCCCAATAATTAATTTTTTGATGAAACCCTTTGGACCTTAATGTTGACCAATTTAAAAACAGGGCCCAAAATACAAAATCTAAATATACCATTAGATTCAGCATATCAAAGAACCCCAAAAACTCAAGACTTTGAATTAAACCACATTGAAATTGGTCAAGAAATAAGCAATTTATACAAAGTATTAGAAAAGTATTGTTTTCGGCCCATTTTTCCTAAAAGGTTACGGCCATAACCCCCAAAATCAATCCCAACCTTCCTTTTGTGGTATGGAACCTTGTAGTACAATTTCATAGAGATCCATACACTTTAATACTCAAGTTACTGTCTGGAAACCAAATGTCTTTGGACGACAACAACCTCATACCATTATACAGTCACAAAAAAAATCAACCACTTACAATTTTGATTGATAAAGTTTTAAGCAGATCTTGACTTTCTAAGCATTTTTAATTCTGTCAGCAATTTATTTTTTAAATATTGTCATTTAGGGGCAAACATCCTTTAAGGTCAATTGATGGTTAAAGGCATACTGGCATTATTGTAGATCATGTATTGCTGATCATTTTTGTTGTCTTCTGGTTTAGTACATTTATATTTAGAAATTCAGTTCGAACTGATTTCTACATTTCAGCTTTGCTATTGTTTTCCAGGAACTCAGTTTGAAAATAATTCTTGAAACAAATAAAGGGTCCCCATAAGTTAGTTTTAGCATCAAAGACTCAGACTTTAAAGCCTTTACCTCCAGTTCTTTAATGAAAAATAAGCATTATTCTCAGAGGCTAAAATGAGCCAAGGTTTTGCTCATTGTTGAAGGCTGGAAGGTGACTTGTAGCTGTTAACTTCTATGTCATTTGGTCTCTTATGGAAAGTTATCTCATTGGCAATCATCCCAAATCTTCTTTATAGAAGATGAACTACATTTTCTTTTAAAATGTCCTGTTCTAAAATATACAAGATCTCAACATCTGTCTAATTTAAATTCTAAGTTCAAAATTTTTCAAAGTTATCTGAGGAAATGAAACTTGTTTGGATTCTTTCATCTGAAGATTTGTTTGTTACTTCAAACTTATCTAAATTATTGCACTCCCTTTTTGAAGAACGATAGAAACTCTTAGAAAAATCAATGTTGTTTGAAAAAAATAGAAAAAAATATATATGTTGTCTCCCATCGGCCTAGGGCTATAAATTGATTAAGAAATGTAATTTCTCCAGGTCACAGTGGCTTCCAAAATAACTTAATGTTTTGTCAATAACATGGTTTATAATTATGTTACTTTGTTTAAATGTGTACTCATGTTTTTGTTGTAATGTACTTTAATCATTCTAATCATTCTAATCATTAACTGTGTAACTCATTTGATTGTATAGCTCAAATTTTGGGCACCATGATTGGTTAATAAAATTATCTTTTCTTATCTTGTCTTATCTTTATAAATGTGAGTCAATGACAGTGGGTCCCCTAAAAAATTCATTTAAATTGTAATTTCATATTTGATTGAAATCAAAAATATTCTGTTTCCTGTTGTATGTTTTCACCTTTAGAATAGCAGAAATTACCAAATAAAGATTTTTCTAATAAAGTTGATCAATTATCCTTGTGGGACATGGGTCCAAATTTCATAAAGGTTTGACAAAGTTATTGATGTCAGAAAAAAACTTTATAAAAGACTGAACCTAAATGTTGATAACACCGATGCCAATAATTGAATCTAGGATGGCTCTGTCTCGCTTGCGCGACATAAAGTTACAGGCTTGACAAAAATAAGACAATGCATGACCTACATGTAACAATGCATGGATTAAAAGAGTGTGCAGTGTTTGGTCACAAATTGTCTTATTTTTTATATTTAAATACAGCAATTAGTTGTACTTTTTATTATATAGAAACTGAATATCAAAACTGTTTTCTGTGTTTCTTGAGTTAGATTCATTTGATATGTTGTTGATTTCCCTGCACTTGTTTGGAGTATGAATATTTGTGTATTGCACACAGTTGTCAAAATGGCATATCGATGAAGATTTTGCAATTATTGCGAAGCAAAAAGTTGTTTTAAATGCACCTGGACTTTTAATTGTTGATATATAATACACTTAATAAATTTTTTTAATTATGAAGTCACAAATCATCAGTTGTAAGACTCAAGTGAAGGTCTGGTACAAGGCTGGGAATGACTTAAGTGAAGGTTTGGTACAAGGCGGGGAATGTCTTAAGTGAAGGTCTGGTACAAGGCGGAGAATGTCTTTAGTGAAGGTCTGGTACAAGGCGGGGAATGTCTTAAGTGAAAGTCTGGTATAAGGCAGTGAAAAAGTTTATCAGAAATCATCACAATGGGAAATTCATATAAATCACCATTATTTAGCCATTTTCATTAAAATTGGTGAGGTGATTGGCTGATCCTTTTTGTTGTTTATAGTTTCTGTAACTGCTTTTCAAGATAAATGGCAAAACAAAAACATTGGTGAACAAGACTGTGTCCATAGTACATGGGTGCCCCACTCGCACTATCATTTTCTATGTTCAGTGGACCGTGAAATTTGGGTCAAAACTCTAATTTGGCATTAAAATTATATAGATCATATCATAGGGAACATGTGTACTAAGTTTCAAATTGATTGGATTTCAACTTCATCAAAAACTAGCTTGACCAAAAACTTTAACCTGAAGCGGGACAGATGAATGAACGGACTAACAAAGGAATGGACCGAAAAACATAATGCCCCTAGGTGGGGCATAAAAATCACTATTTCAGAGCACAACTCTTTCCAAGAGTCATCAGACATTTTTTGTAGAATAAAGGTTGTAGGTACATCTTGACACTATGTTGTTTTGATCCGAAGTACCTGTAGACTCTTTCAAGTTGTTGCATGTCATGTTTGATTTCAGAGAAGATTTCCAAATTCTATTACCCCAGGGTGATGGACAACAAACACCAAGTGACATCATGGCGAAAGATCCCACTAGCAAAATGATTCTTAAACAACAGTCAGGGGACTTATTGAAATAAGTGATTTAAAAATCACTTATCTAAGTAGAAAATTTGAAATTTTGTCTCAAATTGTGATTTTGTAGTTTTACCAAAATTGTAAACATATAGGTTTAGATTATATCTTATTATTAGTAAAATTAGAAAAAATGAACCTTTTTCTTCTTTTAAACAGCAAGGTTTATGCCTTTAATGCAATCAATTAGCTGTAAATTCTATTTTTGTTGAAAAAATGCTATAATAAAGGCTTTACATAATGAACTGATACTTTCTTAACAGATTTTTCCCAGCAGTGGGAGTAATTTTCCTGTAAAATTCAAGGTTTCATCTTACAGATTATGTAATAAAACTGTACTGTTCGCTATCAAAATTTCACTGTTCGGGGGGTGTTTAAATTAGTGGGGGTAATTAAAATAATAATGCTTAAAGAAGTGATTTTTTGGAAGAAAATAGAGGTATGATATATATATATACTTAAACAAGTGATTTCATGTCATTATCCCAGATTCAGAACAAGGTCATCACCTGACATGACTAGTCATCATATCAACACAGATGTTGGTTCTGATAGTTTTAGCAACATAATTAGTCCCTGGATCATTAGTATTGTATATTTAAAGCTACAATAAAATTAAATCACTTAGTCCAGTGATTAATTTGTACTACTTAAATAGGTGATTATTAAAGAAAGACAACTCTTACTTCCAACATTTGTGGAGACAATGTTACTTGAATCAGTGATTAAATAAAATGCTCCGCTGGGCGCAGCTTGATACGACCACAGAGGTCGAACCCTGAACAGTTGGGGTAAGTATGGACACAACATTCAAGCTTGATACAGCACTGAATTTGGATTTTGATTAAATATTTGACACAGCATAGGTTTCTGACACAAAATGAATGTGGTCTAAGAACTTAAAAGTTTTTAATTTACCTATTCAAACCATATCATTATTATTTGCTTTTATATATAAATCAGAAATAACCAATTTAAAATGGAAAATTTTAAAGAAAAAAAAAGGAAACAAAAATCCCTCCCCCAAATTGTTTGAACCCCCTTATGATTCATCACCCCCAAACTCAATCCCAGCCTTCCCTTTGTGGTATGGTACCTTGCAGTACAATTTCAGAGAGATCCATACACTTGAACACAAGTTATTGTCTGGAAACTAGAAAAATGCTTGTTTTTAGGCCCCTTTTTGGCCCCAAATTCCTAAACGTTTAGGACAATTACCCCCAAACTCAATTCCAGCTTTCCCTTTGTGATATGGAACCTTGTAGTACAATTTCAGAAAGATCCATACACTTACACACAAGTTATTGTCATGAAACTAGAAAAATGCTTGTTTTTTTCCCCTTTTTGGTCCCTAATTCCTAAAATTTTGAGACAATTACCCCCAAAATCAATCCCAGCCTTCTCTTAGAGGTATGGTACCTTGCAGTACAATTTCAGAGAGATCCATACACTTGAACACAAGTTATTGTCTGGAAACTAGAAAAATGCTTGTTTTTAGGCCCCTTTTTGGCCCCTTATTCCTAAACGTTTTGGGCAATTACCCCCAAACTCAATTCCAGCTTTCCCTTTGTGATATGGAACCTTGTAGTACAATTTCAGAAAGATCCATACACTTACACACAAGTTATTGTCATGAAACTAGAAAAATGCTTGTTTTTTTCCCCTTTTTGGTCCCTAATTCCTAAAATTTTGAGACAATTACCCCCAAAATCAATCCCAGCCTTCTCTTAGAGGTATGGTACCTTGCAGTACCATTTCAGAGAGATCCATACACTTGAACACAAGTTATTGTCTGGAAACTAGAAAAATGCTTGTTTTTAGGCCCCTTTTTGGCCCCTTATTCCTAAACGTTTTGGGCAATTACCCCCAAACTCAATTCCAGCTTTCCCTTTGTGATATGGAACCTTGTAGTACAATTTCAGAAAGATCCATACACTTACACACAAGTTATTGTCATGAAACTAGAAAAATGATTGTTTTTTGCCCCTTTTTTGGCCCCTAATTCCTAAAATTTTGAGGCAATTACCCCCAAAATCAATCCCAACATTCCCTTTGTGATATGGAACCTTGTGGTACAATGTCAGAGAGATCCATAAACTAACACACAAGTTATGTCTGGAAGTTACAAAAATGCTTATTTTTGGCCCCTTTTTGGCCCCTAATTCCTTAACTGTTGGTACCATAACCCCCAAAATCAATCCCAACCTTCCTTTTGTGGTATTGAACCTTATGGTAAAATTTCATAGAGATCCATTCCCTTAAACTAAAGTTAGAGTGCAAAAACCAATGTGTCTTCAGACGACGACGACGACACCAACGTCATACCAAAAATCACTCATTTAAGTTAGTCCCCTGACTGAACAAGAGAATCATTTTGCACATCCTGGAAATTTGATCCCAGTATAAAAATGTCTCTTGCAGTTGATACATTATATAAAGAAATATTGGATTTTTGCCATGGGTTGTTGGAGCTTGTCCAAATTGTTAAAGAACATATGGTGATGTGTATAGATTAAGATGTTCTTCTGCTGTCATAAATAGCAGTATATACCTGTCAGGTCTATATGTGTAGCACTGTCCACCAGTGATGCTGTAACATTACCATTTACCGAGTGTATGCCCATACGACATGCATATGATGTTTTATTATAAATGTACTGTCCATTCCATGTGGTGTAGTTAATAAATACTTGTTGCCATTCTGGTAAATTTTCAACTTTTATTGATTCTGGAAAAAAAAATTATATATTGCCAAATTCATTTTGACCCATTTTAGAATTTCATATGACATATATATATTTTTTATGAGACTTTTGTTGTCAAAGCTTTAAAATCTTTTTTTCCATTTTATCTAATTACTTCCAAATGCCTCCAAATCAGAACTCTGTCACATCTTAAGATATGAAGTGGTGATGTGGAACAAAAATTCTGAATCATAATGTGACTGTTTAAAAGTTAATCGTTGGTTGGATTGTATAAATTCACTTTGAAAATCATCACAATTTTTTAAACACTTTTAAACATGGCATTTTTATGTTAACTCAGATTCTAAACATGTAATATGATGGCCTACTTTTGCTTTGTAAACAAAGACATATTCTAATTCCAATAGAACATGGGGTGCATGTGTGTGACGTCACCATTAACATTGCAACATGAATTGTATTTTGAATAACGCCCAAGATTTAAATGGACATTTTCGTTAGTGTTGCCTGGAAGGAAATTAAATAAAATCATTCTAAAAGTAAGTTTACATGTTTGTATTCAATTTTTAATCGTGAAACAGTTGGTTTTCTTGAATGTTTTTGCCTCACCAAATCTAAATGCCTGCCTTTCCAACATGTCTTATAGATCTGTTTCGATGTGCAAAAGTTCTGAATTTTCCTTTTAGAATGGAACTAATTCCATCATGCAATGCTCTATGTTCATTTTTACATGGGAAGGCATTATATTTTACAATTAGCTTACACTCAGATATCAGTATATAATTATTGACAAATATGCCTAACCATGTTAAAATGAGCATAGAGCATAGGATGAAAAAAAAATTCTTAACTGACATGATCATGTTAACACTTTTAAATTAGTGGTCCTTCTGGTTTGAACTGATCTTGCATTGCTTCTTACTTTTTTCTTGACGAAAACCCCTAATGTTAAAATACATACTGACAAGTGTTGTATTTATACTTGCCATACTTTGTACTTACTGCCTTTATTTGTTGATACCAGAACTGGACAGAAAAGAACAATTATTGACATCAGAACATAGTTGTCTTGTTTCATTTTAACCACAGTCTGTAGATGCCATACATCTATCTTAGGTGCCACATAACTTGTGAAGCTTGTTCTGTGTACATTTACTACAAATAAACCTGTACAAAAAACAAATACTGTAGATACTCTGTCTCAACTTTATATAATATCAGCTTTTTTAATTAATAGTTAATCATACGTCAAATTAAAGAAAAATAATATTCAGAGATACATTTGTACTCCTAGACAGTACACCTCACATCAACCTAATGGTAGCATTTGAAAAGCTGGAATTGTTGGCAGGAAAAAGATGTCTGGGATTTTTTGTTTTAAATATATACTGTAAGTTCAGAAATTACTGCGTGTATTTATTATTGTGATTTATGACACTCCAAAAATGCAAGATTTATTATTGCGATTTCAGGAAAATCTGCATACAGGTATATACATGTATCTAACCATTTACTTGTTTTTGTCTATATGTCTTTTTGATCGAGTTAAGCCATTTCAATTGATATTTTATATATAGTATGTCTTTTTATGTTGTAATGTTACACTACTGTTTCAGGTTAGGGTGAAGGTTGGCACCTGTTATAACGTTTAAACCCGATGCATTTGTATGCACCTGTCCTAAGTCAGGAGCCTGTTCAGTGGTTGTCGTTTGTTGATGTGGTTCATAAGTATTTCTCGTTTTTTTATAGATTAGACCGTTGGTTTTCCTGTTTGAACTGTTTTACATTAGTCATTTTTTAGCCCTTTATAGCTTGCTGTTCGGTGTGAGCCAAGGCTATGTGTTGAAGGCCTTACTTTGACCTATAATTGTTTACTTTTTTCACATTGTGACTTGGATGGAGAGTTGTCTCATTAGCACTCATACCACATCTTCTTATTTCTGATTAATATTCCTCTTCACCCTGTGTTCTGTAAAATTTCTGTTCTCCCTTTGTCTGTTCTGTAAAGAATGGACTTCTGATATATGCATGACACCTCAATTTATTACTTATTCTCAAAACCTATTACTGCAGTATATGTTATCTGCTGTGAACAATGGTGAATAAACTTAAACTTTTGTTACCTTTATGTTTGTTTCTCTGCATCAGATACAAGGAGGTTTGTTAGAGCTCTTAAACTCACAATCCTAGAGCATCGTCCCTTGGTACCTGTTGCAGCTAAACAATCAAATGTATTTATACATTTACCATGTTTACAGCAAAAATAAATAACTGCAAATAAAATCAAGTGAGAGGACATTTGCCACATCTCTGGAGTAGCAACTCTTAAATCCTTTTTTTTTTAATTTATATAATCGCCTGTATCACTCTATATCAATATTTTAGGCATATTACATGAATGTCATGTAAATATATATAATATAAAGGTATGTGGGCAAACAGCGTTACGGGAAACCAGATCTACATTCAGATGTCTTGGTTATTTTATCTAGTATTAATTTAATCATTGGGTTGTTGAGACATCTCGTTGAACCCTTTTTAATCGTAAATTTTGAGTATTTTATTCGATACAGAATAGAATAAGAATAATAAGAATAAGAATATAAAATAGAACAGTGTTTTATTGCTAATTACAGCACCCAAAGCTGAGCTGAATAATTAAATTAAATTTATATACAATGATTTCAATGCCTCTTTAAAACAATTGGGTAAAAAAAACAAAAAAAACATTCAATTAAAACCAGCAATTAATACCAGCTGGTACATTTTTACAGTTATTCATTGCTATTTTAAGTTGTGGTTTAGCGTTTTGAAACCTAAGGCTGATAAAGGCAAAGATTAATCACTAAACTAGAAATTACCTGAACTGAAGTCCTGTGTTTTTTACAAATTGTGTTCTCAGTTATCTCCCTTTCTCTTTCTCTTTCTTCGGGAAAGATGTGCGAGATCTACCGAACGGAAATCTAGACACGCTGTAAAATGTGGCCTAACCGATTTTAATGTTTATTGTAATAATCGATACATCAAAAGCAACAACATTAAAACGAGGATTTTAAAATTCTTTGTTTGACAAATCTTTTTCATCTGGAGTTTTATCAATTCTATGGATAGTATTTTAGCATATTGTGCTTTGACACCCTCTCGGCTACTTCCACCTTTTCCATGAATGAATTTATCTCATGTGATTTGATCATGTGATAACAAAATGGCAGACAAGTTGATGTGATATCGTCTTCATACGGAAACAAAAATCATGAAGAAAAAGGTAAATATAACACAGATTTTTATTACTATACAGTTGGACAGCCTTTTAGGAATTTTTATAATTTATATTATATTTACGTAACGATACAAATACAGATCTTAGCATGGGACTGATGCAAATTCGAACAAACTGTGACAAATTAAATCAAAGTGTTATTTATTCTATGTCGTATGACGGTATACATGTGCAAATTAACAGATATTTTAATATGACGTTCTTCAAACGCTTTGGGTTCACACCAGTGGTCAAAAATGAATATATTGATATGTCAGCTGATTGTCGACGTCATGGATTGTATAAATTTGGGCTGTTCCAATCTTACTCCCATGTTGTGTGCTTTTTATGAATGAATTACCCGAGGTCAGACGGTGTAAATGATGTCATTGAACGATGACGTTAGAATATAAGCATTCTACGGGAAAATGCAAGAATTTGAAACTGAAAGTTGTCAAAACATGAAACAAAACAAACAATGATTCGAATTCGTTCAAAGCCCATTTTCCGAAATAAAAGTAAAATAATCAATCAGCTTCGTTCAAACCTGTCTAAGTATGTTATAAATCATTTAAGCATGTCACATTCATTTTTTTTCGTATTTTACGTCAATATTAATAGTGTGTTTAATTTCAGGAACAGCAAACATTCCCTTCACCTAGCTAGAGCGCTTCGAAACAAAAGAATTGCTGTCTTTGTCCTATTAGAATAGAAATAATTCATGGGGGCTTGAATTTAAATTGATTTTACCAAGAGTTGTCCCTTTATGCTGATATTTTACCCCTCGCTATCGCTTGTGGTAAAATATTTTGCTTAAAGGGCCAACCCATGGTAAAATCACAATAAATTTAAGCATCATGAATTATTTCTGAATTATAAGTTTTGAAGAGCCTTTTACTTGACTGCATTAGAAATACAATTTTCCATCTGATTATTTTACCTATGGCCTATAATGTTGTTTTGTCAAAAATTGCACCATGTGAACACTAAAATCGAATTTTGTTTGCATGGTTGCATGAATGAAAAATCATAATGTGTGAACAGAATGCTGTATGATTACATGCTTTTTATCAAATCAAATTGAAATTTGTATGAAATATCTTACCTTGTAAAAGCACTTGTAATCAAAGCAAGGGTGTACATGTATATTAGATGTTAGTTATAAACCCTTGGTCATAGGATTGAACCATTTTCTAACAGTCAGGGGTATAACTTCAGTGATTTAATATATTCAGTAATCACCTATTTAAGTGATTTTGGTGTTTCCTGTGATCTTCAAATGGTAATTTCAATATATTTAATTTTCCATATTTTGACTAATTTTCTGTAATTTTCCTACATAGATCAATCATTTGTCAATTATCCCTTTCTCTTGTATATTAATTTCAGCAGTGCGCTTGGGCAGTAAGTTAGTACGCTAAAGCTTTAAAGGTTCCCTTTGTTATCAAATATTCTATAACAACTCTTACAATCAGACAAAGGTCAACAATTTTAAGGAACCTGATTGGTCTTCTTTACACTTAGAATGATCAACTTCAATGTCCTATTCTACAAATTTTACCAGTTTATGCATAATTCAAATAAACTGTAAAATCTGACAAGCTCATCCAGCAAAAGATAATTTCTGCATGTACTTTATTTCTAAATGTAATCCTTGTCTTTTAGCCAATAAAAAAATCAAGCTTGTGGGAAAAATATCAAGAAAATGTTATAAACACTTACTGAAGTGTTTTCATTTTTAATTCTCAAATTAGAATTGAGAATGGAAAAGGGGAATGTGTCATAGAGACAACAACCTGACTAAAGAGCAAAAAACAGCCCAAGGCCACCTAAGGGTCTTCAAATCAGCGAGAATTACATGTTTCAGTGATTTTAAAAAGTCTTCATGTCTATGTTTGTGATAATTTTTAATTCTCAAAATACTTGTTTCAGTGCTTTTAAAAAGTCTGTGTCTATTTTTGTGAAAATTTTCAATTTTTCAAAGCCGAAATCACCTAAAGATGTGATTTTGAAATCACTTGTATATAAGTAGTACCCCTGACTGTCTATTCTCACTACTGCTCGAGTACCAGTTACTACCTTGCATTTTATGCAATATCCAAAGTGTTGCATAAATATAACATGCTACTCTGTATTTACAAGTAAATATTTTTACTTTAGTTGAAAGTTCTCTGGGTTTATTTTTCATCTGATTTAGAGAGGGAAATGCATACCTGCCAATAGACCCAATTCATGTTTTAGGCATGACTGACATGATTTTTACCACCTGTCCCGATTTCACGATCATAATTGTGAAAAAAAACCCTAAAAAATGATTTGTGAAAATTTACACTAAAAATCATGAAAATAAGTTTGTTTCTGACCAAATTTTTTGAACTTGTTCGGAACTTTTGCATTGTATTCCTCTGTCAATAAATTTCTTTATAATTGGTGGTTGAATCTTACACAGTCTCGAAAGAAAGGTGTGGTTAAATTCTGAGTCTGGTTGATGATGGGGATGCATGTCACATGCAAAGTTTGCAATTGAGAATGCAAAGTTGACTATTGTGGCCTGAATGACATTTTAAAGCATGCAAGGACTGATCAACTTCATCAGAAGATCATAACACTACCAAGATGTCAGTTAATTCTTTTAAGGATTAATTAGATGCTGAGCAAATAAAGTTGGTCAAGCAAGCATGTACAGTAAAGAAGAAATTTCCCTTGTTATGAGATAATCAGCCTGTTAAAATAGGAATCAAGTTTGATACAAGTCAGTGAAGTGTGCTGACTATTTGTCAGAGACGCAGTGCTACAATAAACATATTAGATAGTAGCTTATTTTGACATTACATTTATTGTAACAGATCAATACATTGTTGTCATCACTGTTTTTAAAAAAATCCAATTATTAAAAGTATTGTATTAGAAGTTAATTAAAATATCCAATTATTAAAAGTATTGTATTAGAAGTTAATTTTAATCAGGAAGATGTCCTTTTGTGTCCATATTTATAAGTGGATAAAGTTGACAGTCAGTAATTTCTACACAAGAAAACATTTTGCTGGTATTCTAGCTACATAAACTCTCTTTTCTACACAATACAATAAGCACAAGAATCGTTCAAATAAAAAGAAGAAAAAAGCTTATAAGCTCCTCATCCTCATAAGAAAATAGAAGACATATGTCACTATCATGGTAAACTGCACATTAAAATGAAGTGATGATTGTTACTCTTAGAAATGTTGTCAAGCACTAAAACCCCCATGATGATTTTCAAAAGTTGGAAGCTATGAAAATGCTTAGTTTTTTTGCAGTCGCATTGGAGGAAGATATGACATCCTTGATTTTGAAACTGACTGTTTTCTAACCAAACAATATCTAAACTTGCTACAGTATGCAAATTTGTTTTAAAAAAATTCAAAAAGATTCATAAACATTAAAAAATTAAAATCTATGCTAACATGATGCTCCTTTTCAATACAGTGTAAATTATTGATTTCAAGAGACAAATCAGTGATGAGTTCAGATTTAGAAAAAGAAGAACTTTCAGTTAATGACCAGAATGACAATGTGTTTGGTTCTTTTACCTACCTTCTGCTTTTCTTCATGTTCTTGATACACAATATCAAACATATGAGACTAGTAGCTGTCACAAATCCACAATAAATTAAAATGTACAAATTTTTTTTATGTACATGCATGTAAAGGAAGAAGAAAATGTAAGAATTTTGTATACAGGTAGTTTTCCATTGACATTAAAGATTGAGTTATTTCCCTTGAACACCATATTGGAGGGTAACCATTTAGACATAGTACAAACAAGTGTGTTACAATGTAGTGTACTGGACTGATTTACAGTCCTGTATTTTTTGTGATTTCTGTTATCCTCTTTCATTGTCTTTATGTATTATTGGAGATAAATACTGTATTTAATAAAGATACCAGATGATTTAAAACCTAGGGGTATCCCTTACATGGATCAATATTTTTCAAAATCAATGAATATTTAGTAAGAGATCTTTGGCGTAATGGAATATGAAAAGGTGGGTAACACTGTCATTTCTAATAAAGCAGCTTCAAGTTTATTGGTTCATGTGTTTCTGGAACCAACACATATTTTAAACACTTTTCTGTCAAAAGTATTGTGAAAAAGTAAGAGAAAATCATAATTTCACTGAATGAAATACAGTAATGACGGTCCTCACATTATAAAATAGATTTTTGTTAATAAGTCAGTTTATTTAAATTTAAGCTTAAAAAAAAGTTCACAAAGTGACACACAGAAATTGTCTGCATGATTTTTCATAAAAAAAGTGTTGATTGTATATATTTATATTCATATGCTAATTGTTAGATCAATGAGATGATTAAGAGGATTACAACAACAGGTAAGGGTGTTTACATGTTTGGAAAATTGATATAATGGGACAACATTTTGTTGTCAAACTAGCATGGGGAAGGAAAACCCTATTTTTTTGTTATCAGAAATAACAGCACATGGTATCAATGGTAGTTATTTTTATACGACCGCAAAAAAATTTTGTGGTCGTATATTGGTATGACGTTGGCGTCGTCGTCGTCGTCGTCGTCCGGCGTCGTCGTCCGAATACACATTGGTTTTCGCACTCTAACTTTAGTTTAAGTGAATGGATCTTTTTGAAATTTGACCATAAGGTTAAATACCACAAAAGGAAGGTTGGGATTGATTTTGGGGGTTATGGTACCAACAGTTAAGGAATTAGGGGCCAAAAAGGGGCCAAAAATAAGCATTTTCTAGTTTCCAGACAATAACTGTGGAACGGTGTATGGATCTCTCTGAAATTATACTACAAGTTTCCATACCACAAAGGGATGGTTAGGATTTGCTTTGGGGGGTTATGGCTCAAACCATTTAGGAATTAGGGGCAAAAAAGGGGGAAAAACAAGGTTGTCCTGGTTAATGGACAAATACTTTAGTACAAAACATAATTTAAAGCAGTGTAAGGGAGATAAATCAAATACATCATTGAAATTATCTCCCTTACACTGCTTTTAAATTATGTATAAAGTAATGGTTAATGAACAATAAAGATAATTTAAAACAGTGTAAGGGAGGTAATCCAAATATAAACGTTTTGGTTACTTCCCTTACACTGCTTTTAAATTATGTTTAAAGAAATGCATATTTATAAAGGAAGACCAGTAAAAATATCTTCAAATGTTGCATCTTTTTTTTTACAAAAAAATCCATATGAAAGATTTGACACTGTATTTTTAATTCTATTATAAAATAGATTAAGTTAGCACTATGGTAAATTTAAATGGGTAATTATGGTTGCCAACTCCATTGGAAATTTGAATTGAGATTTTGACCATATCTTGAGGGAAATAATTTTTTGGGGGAAAAAAGGGGGGGGGGATAAAAAGAAATTGTGGGGGGTCAATTTTTTCTCATTTCAGATTTCAGAAATTAAAAAGAATTATTCTTGAAATATTATTTTTTTTTCAAATTTCAAATATTGAAAAATTTCAAGAAGTAATCTTTAATTGCACAGTATGGCGCATTAGATTTTTAAAATCTTTGATCACATTTATTTATTTGTTATGTCGAAACAGTGTATTTAGATTTTTAATTTTGGGTCCAGTTTTCAAATTGGTCTACATTAAGGTCCAAAGGGTCCAAAATTAAACTTTGTTTGATTTTAGCAAAAATTGAATATATGAGGTTCTTTGATATGCTGAATCTAAACATGTATTTAGATTTTTGATTTTTGGCCCAGTTTTCAAGTTGGTCCAAATTGGGGTCCAAAATTAAACTTTGTTTGATTTCAACAAAAATTGAATATATGGGGTTCTTTGATATGCTGAATCTAACCATGTATTTAGATTTTTTATTTGTGGACCCCGTTATCAAATTGGTTCATATTGAGGTCAAAAGGGTCCAAAATTTAACTTTATTTGATTTCATCTAAAATTGAATTATTAGGGTTCTTTGATATTCCAAATCTAACCGTGTATTTAGATTTTTAATTTTGGGTCCTGTTTTTTAAATTGGTCTACATTAAGGTCCAAAGGGTCCAAAATTAAAGTTAGTTTGATTTTAACAAAAATTGAATTCTTGGGGTTCTTTGATATGCTGAATCTAAACATGTGTTTAGATTTTTGATTATGGGCCCAGTTTTCAAGTTGGTCCAAGATAGGGTCCAGTATTTAAACTTTGTTTGATTTCAACAAAAATTGAATATATGGGGTTCTTTGATATGCTGAATCTAAACATGTATTTAGATTTTTGATTATGGGCCCAGTTTTCCAGTTGGTCCAAATTGGGGTCAAAAATTAAACTATGTTTGATTTCATCAAAAATTGAATTATTGGGGTTCTTTGATATGCCAAATCTAACCGTGTTTTTAGATTTTTAATTTGGGTCCCGTTTTTTTTAAATTGGTCTTCATTGAGGTCCAAAGGGTCCAAAATTAAACTTAGTTTGATTTTAACAAAAATTGAATTCTTGGGGTTCTTTGATATGCTGAATCTAAACATGTGTTTAGATTTTGGATTATGGGCCCAGTTTTCAAGTTGGTCCAAGTTGGGGTCCAAAATTAAACTTTGTTTGATTTCAACAAAAATTGAATATATGGGGTTCTTTGATATGCTGAATCTAACCATGAATTTAGATTTTTTATTTGTGGACCCCGCTATCAAATTGGTTCATATTGAGGTCAAAAGGGTCCAAAATTAAACTTTGATTGATTTCATCAAAAATTGAATTATTGGGGTTCTTTGATATTCCAAATCTAACTGTGTATTTAGATTTTTAATTTTAAGTCCCGTTTTTTAAATTGGTCTACATTAAGGTCCAAAGGGTCCAAAATTAAACATAGTTTGATTTTAGTAAAAATTGAATTTTTGGGGTTCTTTGATATGCTGAATCTAAACATGTGTTTAGATTTTTGATTATGGGCCAAGTTTTCAAGTTTGTCCAAGTTGGGGTCCAAAATTAAACTTTGTTTGATTTTAACAAAAATTGAATATATGGGGTTCTTTGAAATGCTGAATCTAACCATGTATTTTGATTTTGGACATTGGACCATAATAGGTAAATTAAAAAAATTCAAGTTCTTAGACCACATTCTTTCTGTGTCAGTAACCTATGCTGTGTCAAATATTTAATAACAATCCAAATTCAGAGCTGTATCAAGCTTGAATGTTGTGTCCATGCTTGCCCCAACTGTTCAGGGTTCGACCTCTGCGGTCGTATCAAGCTGCGCCCCAGCGAAGCATTTTATTTTTGAATAACTCCTAAAATGTTATTTGAGATGCAAGAAAAATTACTTTTGTTATATACATTATTCTACTTGTTTCAGGAAACTTCCCGATTTAATTGTTTATAGAAAGACTTGATACACGTATATTGAAATTAGCTCTAATTTGAGGAGAATAAATGTCAGATGACATTTTGATTTGATTAAGGAAGTTTGTTCTTTTTCTACAGGTTTTATTGATGGGCAAGAGTGGATCTGGCAAGACAAGTATGAGATCCATCATCTTTGCCAATTACATTGCCCGTGATACAAGGCGACTTGGTGCAACTAGTGAGTATGAGGATGCCATTCATAATTAGTTTCAGTAAAGATAGAAGTGTCACATTATATATATAAAATATGGAGATGTGGTATGATTGGTAATGAGTCCAAATGAAGCGGATTTAAGCAACTTAGGTTCCCCTATGGCCTGCAACAATGAGCAAAATTTATAGCATATAGTCATCTATAAAAGGCCCAAACATGCATGACATGACAAAATGTGAAAAATTCAAACAAAAAAATGTCCAGTCCTGATTTTAGCATACAACTGAATGTGTATCATATATTACTACTAGAAGACAAAGTCCGTATAACAATAAAAAAATCTATAAACTAGTGTCCAAAATAATTAAAACATTTGTGCATTACCCTCTTGACCATGTTGATGGAGGCTGCTATGTTGTTAACCTTATGATTTCTGCAAATTTGTACATCTGATTACCAAATAGAATAAAGAAAATTATACAGACTTTTACCTTTTTTAACATGTAACGCTTGCCTCATACTACATAGAGTATTACAGGAAACCAGTCATGAAAGTCAGTTATATATATGGTATGCAGTTTCATACAGGGAACCAGTCATGAAAGTCAGTGATGTTTGGTATGCAGGTTCTTACAGGGAACCAGTCATGAAAGTCAGTGATAATTGCTGTGCAGTTTCGATGATAGAAATATATATTAAAGAGAATTGAGATCATTATAAGCACACCCAACCTGCCAATGCCAATTAAAATCACAATACAAAACTTGTATGATATCACTTATATCCTATAGTCCTTGTTCAATCTTAAAGATTCATGACTGAAAATTGTTGATCAAATATCATGGTTGATAAAAGATCCATTCAAGACTAATATTTACAATAAAAATAATCATGACTATTAAATGCTAAATTTATTGTCCAAATCAGTCATGTCAGTAAATGTTCAACATATACACCTTAGAAAACTTCAGTCAGTGGTTTTACTCTTATTACAGTTGATGTTGAGCATTCACACGTCAGATTCCTGGGTAACTTGGTATTGAACTTATGGGACTGTGGTGGGTAAGTTATCTTAAAGCAGCAAGTTTGTGGTTGAATCCATGTCATTCTTAATGCTCAGTGAATCAAAGTTTATTATGATTCCCTTGAGTGTAATCAATACAGTAGCCATGGTAGCAGTCCTACTTATGAGTTTTGAAACTTTGAATACATGGTGTGGTATGATTGCCAATGAGATTAACTATCCACCAGAGACCATATAAAGTGGATCTAATACAAGTCTGTATTGATGTTTATGTAATGTAAGTATTCTTGAAATATAATTTTTTTTTATCTTGTTCCTCATGTTCATGATTCACTACATTTTTGTATTTTGTAATATTAAAGAGTAAATCTTGTTTTAAGTTAATTGAAGAAGGATGGTATGTAGGTTACAGATCAGACCAGATAAACATACAGATCAGACCAGATAAACATACAGATCAGACCAGATAAACATACAGTTCAGACCAGATAAACATACAGATCACAGACCAGATAAACATACAGATCAGACCAGATAAACATACAGTTCAGACCAGATAAACATACAGTTCAGACCAGATAAACATACAGTTCAGACCAGATAAACATACAGTTCAGACCAGATAAACATACAGATCAGACCAGATAAACATACATTTCAGCAGTGTTTTGTTGACTGTAGCTAGACAGTCTTAATTTATAATCTTACCAGTCAAGAAATTACACAAAGATCAACCTGTCCCAAAACTTTGACTTTAGTGATACATATAACCATGTAATGAATTGGTGTTAATTTTAAGTCTAATTTATTTAACTTTTCAGACAAGAGGCTTTCATGGAGAATTATTTTGCTAGTCAAAGAGACAATATATTCAGAAATGTAGAAGTATTAATTTATGTGTTTGATGTAGAAAGCCACGAGCTTGAGAAGGATATGCATTACTATCAGTCATGTTTAGAGGCTATCTTACAGAACTCACCAGAGGCCAAAGTCTTCTGCCTCGTACACAAAATGGACTTGGTACAAGATGATCAGAGAGACTTAGTAAGCAAATTATGAATTATAAATACTTCCGTGGCTGCCCACAGTTTATTTAAGATATGCCAATGGCTGCCCACAGTTTATTTAAGATTTATAGATGGGTAAGACTGACTTAACTGCAAATTTCCCCACCAAAGGGTAAAAGGAGAAATTGGGTCTAAAAAAGTGAAATATGTATATTTCAAATAATATCCTTCTGCAAGACTTTATTTTTTCAGGTAACAGTTTTTATATTTTAGAATTTTCCCTTACATACTTACTTTATGACTTCGAACTACTTGCTTTTTGATGTAGAACTACAAAAATGCCAAAATAGCCTCATATTTCAAGCTTGTCATAAATATATAATTAAACCTAGGCCTTACTCAAAAGACATTTTACCACAAAATGTCTCATGGTGTTATTGTAGATAATTTATCTTTTCTGGTAAATCGTTGGATCTTAATTTAATTATTTTTAATGAAACTGTCAGACTTTGTAAAGGATTAAAGAATTTCACTATTTTTGCAATTTCAACAAGGGCCAGATGATAGCTCTTATCATACCTCATCCATGGTTTTAGTCCACATTGCTAAAGGTAATACCATTTTTCAAATTAAAGATGATTTTATACAGTGTGATGAATTGCTTTGTCTTGATGGTTATGTTGGATATTTCAAATCAGATCTTGATATAATGCCTTCAGTAAACTGAATTGAATATATTTGTCTTGAGGAATCATGATAAGATATCCAGTTACACAAAACATACAGATAATTTTAAGTTTGCCTCATCAAAAAATTAGGGGGACCATCAGAGTACCAAAACATTCACTTCCCTGTGTGCAGCATCCATTTAGAAGAAACTCACAACTATACAGCAATAAAATTTGGTGTAAATGATAATTTTGTAGATACTGACATGAGACATAACAAATGTTTTTCATTTTGCAGTGACTTTGATAAAGTATTTAACTTATTTAATTTAAATTAAAAGAATTTATATTTTAATAACTTATTTATTTTCAGAGATTGTCATAACATTTTTAGTATGAACAACTGTTTCTAGACTTAATTTTTATTACAGGTATTTAAAGAAAGAGAAGAAGATTTGAAAAGATTATCAAAACCTCTGAACTGTACATGCTTTGCCACTTCTATATGGGATGAAACGTTATACAAGGTTTATTTTTATATGTTGCACTCTAAATTTTCATCCTCCTAACAAATATGAATGATTCCCCAAACATGTCATATATATGTAGATATCTCAGTTAAACACAGCTGACAACATCACCTAAGTGTAACCAATTTTCGTCATAATTGGCAATTTTACTCCATGAAAATTATTTAAATATCTACACAAAAATTTGAGTGGGAAAGGTTTTTTATCATTTATTTGATTACCTGTGACAGTTGCTGGTGGAGACAGTGAATCTATTTGTATAAAGCTTTCTGAATGAAGAAAGATCTATTCAATCAATAGTTTATGTATAAAAGCCTTATAAACTTAACTATTTCTCACTATCACTGTCATAACAGAAGAAAAGTAAGTCAAAAGAAAAACTGCCCTGACCAAAATTTCTTCACATTTTTTCCATTGTAATAATTCTAAATTATTTTTCTGGTGGAAATTTATGGTTTTCGTCTTGGTATGTGAGAACATAAACCCTTTCCACTGTGTTGAATAATTGTAACATTCCACTTTATATTTCAGGCTTGGTCTAACATAGTTTATCAGTTAATACCAAATGTACAACAGTTAGAGAGTATGTTGGCTAATTTTGCTAACATCATTGATGCTGATGAAGTCCTACTCTTTGAAAGAGCTACTTTTCTGGTGAGTGATGTTATGACTCATGTTGTGTTACTCACACACATTAATACAGCTATTTTTATATTTATTTAATGTGAATAGAGAATATATGTAACTATAAACTAAGGGCTATTTGAACAAACAGACAAACCAAATATTTCAAATAGATATGGCATTTAGAAATTGCATCTAACTAGGTGCATATACCCGGTAGTACATTTTATTTACATTGAAATACAAGAGAAATATTGCAGTTAATGTATATGAGTGTGTACTTCATGTATAAAAGTTAGATTTTCTTGTTTGTAAAAGAGAGGCAAAAGATATCTAATGGATAATCAAACCCCATAAGTAAAAAAAGGAACAATACCATGGCAAAAAACAAAAAAATGACCAAAAGACAAACATTATACAAAAACACAACATAGAAAAACTAAAGACTGAGCAACAAGAACCCCACCAAAAACCGGGGGTGATCTCAGGTGCTCTGGAAGGGTAAGCAGATCCTCCTCCACATGTGACACCCGTTGTGTTGCTCATGTAAGTACAAACCGGGTGATAAGTCTAATTCAGTAGGTAATATATGAAGAAAAGAGGACAGATTGTGTTTGTTAGGTGAGCCATGAACTGTTCAGTAGCTTGTAGAAGTATAGTAACAAATTGGTCAGTGTTTTCAGTCATCCTTTTGATTTGATTAGCTAGCAATAACTATTGTTACTTTTTTTTGATAGTAGTAAACAAAGCTAATAATGATTTCATGGTCCACCTAGCAAATTTAATTGTCCCTTTTACATACCCAAGTATAGGTGCTGTCAAGTTTCTTTTATAAATTGGTTTTCTATTTGTGATCTGTTTAAACAG